GGGGGAAGGAGCCTCAGCTAGGGGGGCTGGGGGAGCAGAGCCCGGACAACCCTACAGACCTCAGCAAAGGGACAGGGTGAAGCTCCCAGCTAGGGTCCGGCACCACGGGGCGAGTACCCAGGGTCTACTTGGTTTTAGAGCAGCCAGAGACATAGATGAGGGGGATGACCAGCCCATGCCCCATCACAGCCAAGCTCCCGTCCAACTGCTGTGCCCACCAGATGCCATTCATATCCCCCCTCGCCTCTCCCGCCCCCCGGAAAAAAACTCAAGAGTTACAGCAAGAAAAATGTGTTCTCTCTGGTTCTGTGCTCCTTTTGGTCTTTGTTCCATGTTCCCCTCCACTCCAGTTTCAGAAGCTAAAGGCTACTTGTAGTAGGTAAACAGAAGATCCAGCCCAAAAGCTCAGGGTCCATGCCTGCCTCAACCGACGGAGCCTTCTGGAAGCAAAGGGTTTCAGTGGACAGAAATCACTAATCCCCTTCGCTCCAGAGGGGTGCTGTTGGTTGGTTGGCTGGTTGGTGATTTTGGTTTGGGGCACACCTGACAGTGCGCAGGGCTCACTCCTGGCTCTAAGCTCAAGGATCACTCCTGGTAGGGCTTGAGAGAACCTGCAGTTCTCAGGTGGACCCTGCAAGGCAAATGATCCTCACCTATTCACCACCCTAGCTTTCCAGCACCTGCGAAGGTCTTTGGGATCCTTAAAAGCCAAGGTGGGGAGGGGCGGGGTCAGATTCTGTTTCCTTGCAAGCTCCTTTCTCAGAAGCAATGTCTCAGCTGAGGCCACACTGCCCTGGGGACCAACTTCTGGGACCCAAAGATCCCCATTTGCTGCCCTGCCCAGGAACCCATCATCCTAGGAAGGCCCCCCTGGTGGCCCAGGTTGGTGGGGGGGCTGTGGTCCCACAGGGTCAACACTCCCCAGAGGTTTCAGGAACCAAAGCCACTCACTGTCTGCCCTCCCGGGGGCGCTCGCTCCATGCCCCAAGCTGCTGGCCACAGCAGGATTAAGAAAGTACTTTTCCACTTTCCCTGGGCTGTAGCAGAGGACACGGTCCGGGAGTCAGGCCTGGCGCCAGAGGGGGAGGAGACTCCTTCGGGAAGGCGGGGTCCAGCTTCTGGGGGACTTTTCCATCAGCCCCACCCCATCCAGGAAGAAGGGCTTCATTCTACCAAGCTGGGCCCCTGGGGAAGTGGAGAGGTGAGTTTAGAGGAGGAGCACGTGGGCTCAGGACTGGGGTGTGGGGGGGGGGGGAGGGGGAGGCCCTTGGCAAAGCTCTAGATGCCCTGGAAGGAGTGATGGAGCCTGGCAGGACCATGGCAATCAGCAACAACACTCAGAGCCCCAGTTTACCCACTGGTCCCCCCCTCCCCATCAAAACAAAAACCACTAATGCAAGCAGTGAATTCAGACAATAATTCAGAAATTAGTCATCTTCCTCACTGTCCGTGGGCAGCCAGGTCTGCTGCAATGGAATAACTGGGGTGAGTCACTGCAGAGACTTCGGGGAAGGGCTGGAAGCTGCACGCGGTACAGCCCCAGGACCCCCGGCCACCCCACTGTGAGAGCCCATGAGTCACATGCTTGGGCCGCTGCCAACTCCTCAGACTTTCTTCCACAAAAGGAACGGAGTTCCAGAGTGTGTCCCACCTCCGCCGGGGGCGGACCACACAGGCGCCCAGTCATGGGGTGTCCTCTGTGTTCTCAGAACTGCCCAGGGCCTGGGTGTGGCTCCACGAGAGAGACACGCATGCCTGGCACCTGAAGGTCCTGGTGCTGAGGAAAATTACCCAAAACCCTCTCCTGAAAGACCAGCACTGCCCTGGGCCTTCTGGCCCTGCTCCCCTCACCACACCCAGAGCAAAACACATCCCCAGGGACCCCGTTTAGAAGGTCACACAGAGCCTGACTCAGTCAGTGTTTCCTTCTCCAGACCTGTTCCAGAGCCTTCTCCCCTAAGGCTTTCCTTACAAAGGGTTGGTGCTCGAAGGTTTGGTTCTCAGTCCAGAGAGCCAGAACAGGGGTGAGGTGCTTGCCTTGCATGCAGCTGACCCCGGTCCCATCCCCAGCAAAGGGCCCCCTGAAACTCACCAGGAGTGATTCCTGAGCACAGAGCCAGGAGTAAGCCCTAAGCACTGCCAGACTTGACCCAACCTCCCATTCCCCAGGAAAGAAAATAGTCGTTGTCTATAATCAAACAAAGCTAGAAAGGATGGTCCAGGTAGTAATATTTATCCCTGAAAAATAAGTCCTAAGAGGACCAGAGAGATAGGACAGTGGCCTTGCATGAGGCTGACTCTAGTTCAATCCCTGGTACCCCATGTGGTCCCCTGAGCCGCACCAGGAGTGATCCCTGAGCACAGTGTTAGGAGTAAGCCCTGAGCACCACCGGGTGTGGCCCAACTCCCCACGCCCAAAATAAAAGTTTTAGAGCTGTGGGAGCAACTTTTCTAACCCACCTAAATGCACCCACTGTCTTGCAGGCTCTCCCCCTCCCCCAGTTCTGGGGCTTGGCAAGTCCCGGGGTCACCTGTCAGGTTGTGTGCAGGTGGTTCTGAGAGCTGGGGCTCAGAGCGGGAAACCGGAGTCAAAGGAAGCCAGGACACTCAGGCGGATTGGAGACACAGAGGTTTATTGTACAAACATCTGCCCGGCCCGGCCCGGCAGCCCACCTTCCCGCACACTCAGCCCTTGAGCACGTCGTTGTAGATCATGGCCAGGGCCCCCAGGAACGTGACGTACTCCTGGAAGTTGACCACCTGGTCCTTATTCCGGTCCAGGTCGTCCATCAGCTTGGTGATCTCAGAATCTTGCAGCTTCTGTGGGTTGGGGAGGGAGATCCTGGCTCAGAGTTGGGAGTGACCGTCCCCAGCAGCCAGCCCTCCCACAGAGGGCCTGCCATCCTGTGACCACCTGCCTCCCCCTCCCTCAGGGACAGCGTCACATCTAAGGGTTCCCTGTCCCAGCCCTGCAGAGTGACCCAAGCAGAAGTGGGGTGAGCACCAAGCACCCCCGAGGGGCAGAGGGTGAGGGCAGGGTAAAGGCCTCACCGCCCCGATGGTCAGCTCCTTCTGGATCAGCTCCTTCAGCTCCTTCTTGCTCAGGGTGTTCTTGTCACCCTCCTTGCCTGAGTACTTGTGGAAGATGGCCACCAGGAGGCCAATGGCCTGGTCCAGAGGGCACGCCATACTGAGGGCTGGGCTTAAAGCTGCAGGGACAGGAACTGGTCAGGGGCAGCAGAAACACCCTTCATCCGAATGTACCCTGAGACCCTCCCCTCTCCTGCCTTTCCTCAGCCCCAGGGCACAGGGGGCAGTGGGTGACACTCTTTGGAGGGGAGGGAGAAGGGGGGCTCCAGGGCAGAGATGGGGCCTGGGACCTATGGAGCCCCGGCAGACTGCTGTCCACAAGGGTCCCCTGAGAAGTTGGGGAGAGGGAGGTGCACGGGACTCCGGGGCCCCACCCAGGGCACACCCACCGCACCCCAAAGGAGCGCACTTGGGGAGCCAGTACTCACCACTGCAGGCAGAGAGGGAGCAGCGGGCAGAGGCGGCCGCGGGGCGCCTTATAGGACCGGACACCCGCCCCGCCCCGCGCCGCGCCCGCCCGGCCCCGGCCCCGGCGCCGCCCGCCCGCGCCCCGCGCCCCGCGCCCCGCGCCGCTTCCGGGAGGGCCCCAGGGAGGACCGCGGGAGGGGCGCTCCGGAACCCTGGGGGGGCGGGGGAGGCCGGCCCTCCCGCTCCCCAAAACGCTCGCCCCGCACCGGCAGTAGCGACAGCCACAGCGCAGGGCCCTCAGCTAGGGAGGGGCGGGGTGGGTAGCGGCACGGCAGGCGGCTGACGCCGCGTCCTTAGCCCTGGGACTCCCAGCCTGGGTGCGGGAAGCCTGCGCTGTGTGCGAGTGTGCACGTGTGTCCCGGTGAGTGTGTCGGGGGTGTGCGGGTGCATCTGTGTGTGCACGCGTGCATAAGTGACTGCGTCTGTACATGTATGTGCAGAGATGAGTGAGGGTGTGAGTGTGGGGCAGTGTGAGTGTGTGTGTGCATGGGAGTGTGTATGTGAATGAGTGAATGTGTACGTGGGGGTGAGTGAATGTGTGCGGGAGTGTGTGTGTGTGTGCATGAGCCTGTGTCCGGGACTAGAAATCTGAATGTTCCTTGGGATGCACTAGAGGGTCTACAAGACTGGAGTGGAAACACGGAGAAGCCCCGGCCGCCCCACCCCTCCTTCACCCTGCCCCAGACCTCCTGCTGCTGCAATTGAACCTTCCCCACTCCCATGAGTTTGGCCAGTTCTGCCCAGGGGTCTGGGGAAAGGCGCCCTGGGTGGAGGGTTCCCCTGAGAGCACTGAGGAGGAGCCAGGGCTGTGGTTGCACCTTGTCCACTTCCTTCCTCCCCAGGTCCCCTTGGTGGCTTCTGTCATGACTCTACAGGCCCGCCCACGTCAGGGGCTGCACCTCGGGCCTCCTGCTCTAGGCACTTTGCCCTTTGCTTTTTCTGCAACTGGATAGTATACCTGGGAGACAGGAGGAACCCTGGCCCCAAACACACACAGACTCACACACATTCACACACACACACACACACACATGAAAGCGCACACACTCATAGGTGCGCACATACACTCACACTCACATACACACACACAGTCATATATACATGCATGCACACACATACGCATGCATACACACACGCATACACACATTCACATACACACATTCACAAACACGCCCACTCACATCCTTACATACACACTCACACACACACTTTTTCCAGGAGAAATTCAGGCCCGCGAGCACAGTGAGGGCCACACTGAAGCACCAAGATGGGACCCAAGGCCTGAAGTTGCCCAAGGACACACCCATGGCCCTGCCCATCAGGAGACATCAAAGAGCCAGGCCCCACAGCTAGGGTGGAAGATCTTTATTTTCTATGCCAAGTAGGGGGACTCCAGGGAGTGCGGGGAGGGCTGAGAGGGTGGCCCGGAGGGGACTGGGGCCAGGCGGGCTCAGGCGGTGCTGGTCACTTGTTCTCTTCCAGAAAGAAGTCATTGTAGGCCATGCACAGCGTGGTCAGGAACACCGAATACTCCTTGAAGTCGATCTCCTGGTCACTGTTCTTGTCCAGGCTCTTCATCAGATTGTCGATGCTGCTCTCTTTCATCTTCTGCCAGGCCCAAATGAGGGAGACAGGTCAGCTCAAGGCCAGGTCTTGCCCCCTGCTGCCTGGGGCCACCCAACCCGGGGAAGGCAGCTGGCTTCAGGGCCACCCCTTGCCAAATCAGCAATATCCCTACACACACACACACACACACACACACACACACACACACACACTCACGTGCCCCCCAGATCCTCCAGCCCAGCCAGGGCCACAGACCCAACTCCTGAATCTAAACTCAAAAGTCTGGGCCCACCCCTTCCCATCACATGGCATAGATCTGAGGATGGAGCCTTCTAGAACACTGCAGGCTGGAGGGGCACTGGGTGCCACAGTGATTGAACCCCTGTGGAGAGACTGCCCTGGGCTACAAGCCTCTCCCGGCCCCTTCTCTCTCCATCCGAGGTCTCAGCTCAGCACTGCCAGGACCATGAGGGGGGTACTCAGACACCACAGGAAGCAAACCTGACCCAGCCTCCCTGGGCTTTGTCCCCAGAGCCCAGCAGACAGGACACCTGGAAACGGAAACAGCTTCTCTGCCGTGCACTGGTACCTGTCTGAGCTCCCCGGGGCCTCTGTCCCCATAATTAACCCCAGCCGGACCTCAGCCCCAACCTCTACCTCATTAGCTCAGGAAGCTAAGCTCTGGGCAGGCTGGGGACACCCCAGGTTCCCTCAGACATGGCTCCCTGCTGAGGTCACTAGGGTGGGGTGGCAAAGACAGCCCTCTCTGCTCCCGCATCCCACCCGGAGAGGCTGACTCCGGATCCTTAGATAAGTTATTTAGGATCTCTGGGGAGTTTTGTTGTTTTTCTTTTGGTTCTTTGTTTTGGGGCCTCCCCCAGCAGTGTTCAGGGCTTTTTCCTGATTCTGTGTTCAGGAATCACCCTTGGGGAACCCTCCGGGGTACCCAGGATCAAATCCAGGCTGGCCACATGCAAGGCAAGCGCCCTCCCCACTGTCCTGTCTCTCCAGCCCAATAGTTCATAACGGTAAATGATCCAGACCGGTGAATAATTAAGACTGTTTCCTGGGCCTTCCTGGCCCGGCCCCTCCCTGCAGTTCATCTGCTGAGAATCAGTTCCGGCTCCTCCCAGTTCCCAGTTTCCCAGATGAGCAGGAATGCCCTGCTGGCTCCTTCTTCAACACACCCCCAGGTGCCAAGAACAGAGAAGGGAGCAGGAACCTGCCCTTCAACAGCACCTGCAGTGACATGGATCGCAGGGTTTCCCTGATCTTCCCCTCTCTTGGCTAAACTACATGAGCCCAGTCTTACCTGGAAGCTTCTGGACGTGCACCCACAACACATGCACCCCACACATACATATTATACCCCACACACACACGTCATATCCACGCACCCCCCCACGTACCTCCCCACACATACACACATCACACACACACACACACACACACACACACACACACACACACTCAGGCTCCCTCTTTCTTCTCCATAGAAGCTGCTTCCCGTCAGCCCAGAGAAGCCTCGGAGCTGTTGCAGCCACCCTCTCTCCCTTCTCTGCTCTTCCCCTTGGCATTCTGCACCCAGTGAGTACAGAGGTGGGCAGGTGTGTGTCCACACCTGGCATCTGCGGGTTCCCCCCACCCCTTGACCATGATCCAGCCCCCGCCTCCTTCCGCCCACACGTACCTCAGCGAGACACAGCTCATTCTTGATCAGCTCCTTCAGCTCCCTGCGGCTCAGTGTGAGCTTGCTGCCCTCCCTGCCCGAGTACTTGTGGAAGGTGGTGACGAGGGTGGTAAGCGCCTTCTCCAGAGGGGTCTCCATGCCTGCATGCAGTGCTGGGGGCCGGACACAGGCCTGAGGAGCCAGGCTTCTGTTCCTCACCAGAGCCCCCTCAAAGCCCCCAAAACGCTCAGAAACTGAATCGCTGGGATGTACCCCCTGGGAGACAGTGTGGGCATCAGGGGCACAAGGGCATGAGGACCCCACTACTGACCAGTGTGGCCTCCTGAGCAGTTTCAGGAGACCCTCATGCCCCCCCACCCCCCCGCCAACACGCAGGGCTGAGCCATGGGCCTCACCAAGTCAAGGCCCTGGCTGTCCAGGGGAATGAGTATCACAGAGTGGCCCTGGCCCCTGTGCCGCATTGATTGAAAAGCTCCCAAATTGTTTCAAAATATAGATAAATTGAGGTCAAAAAGATACACAGGGGTTAAAACTCTTGCCTTCCCTGCAACTGATCTGGGTTCAGCATCCCATATAGTCTCCTGAGCCCTGCCAGGAGTGATCACTGGGTGCAGAGCCCGAAGATGCCCTGAGCATGCTGATTGTGGCCCAAAAAATCGAAACTAAAATTATAAATAAAAACTAAAATGCAGCCATTCATTGGCCCTAATGCGTCTGAGCAGATCATGAGGAAACCGAGGCAGACAGAACCGCTGGGCAATCCCCAGAGATGCCACCTCCATTTCCTTGTCACAGAGGGTTCAGGGGCAGGGGGGCACGCAGTGGCCTCTCCAAAGAGCTGAGGTGTGCCCCCAGACCCCACTCAGACCCTCCAGAGCTGCCCCCTCCCTCGCCATGCTCCTTTGCCTCCGCCTGATCTCAAGCTGTGCCTTGCTGGAGAAGTGGGGGACAGGGCAAGCGGAGAGTCCAGGGGTGGGGCCCAGGCGGAACTGGGAGCTTAGTCTCAGCAGGAATCCTGCCCAGCAGGGCTGGGACACCCCAGGCTCTTTCTGGGCCAGCTAGAGGTCCGGCTCCAGGGGACCCCACACCCTCCAGCACAGCCACACCCACAGGGGAGAGGCCTGGAGCTCTTCATGACTCAGACCTGCAAACCACTTCCCCTTGGGCAGAGGGGGCCACACCCTGCCGGCCGGAACTTGGGGCTCTAGGATCCTCGCAGAGTCTGAGTAAGGAGATGGCCTGGCCAGTTCCCTGCCCCCCCCCGCCCCACCCCTTGATTCTGGACCTGCTCCTGCCTTTGCTCCTCCGTCACCCAGGAACCTCCATTTCCCCGCCTCCAGAACCACAGCAGAACCACAGAACCAGAGCCAGACCCACAGCATGGCTGGGCCAAGAAGGCCCTGAGCTACCACCAGGCGTCCTGGCACTGCCAGCCCTGAGCCCCCTCTCAGGAAATCCTCCCCCCACAAATCCTGATACTCTGCCTTCCCCTCCCAGAGCCCTGCCAACGCTGGGGCTTCTTCCCTGGTGGGGGCAGTAGGGCCATCCCCCCCACTCACCGCACCAACGAAGGACTCACCGAGCAGAAGTCAGCCCGGAATCTCACAGCCTCCCGCTGCACAGCCTTTATTCCTGTGCTCAGGTCCCCGGGAAACCCGCGGGGAGAAAGGACCAATGAGAAGGGCCCCGGTCAGAGCCCCTGGGACAGCTGGGGAGGCCGCGCCAGTCTCTCCTCGGATCCATGAGAGGATGGGCCCACTCATCCGCCCCTGTCCACACCACACGTCTTTGCTCCCCGCGCTCAAAACCCAAATGCATGATCCGAGGGACAAGGTGGAGGGGAGAAATCAGCCGTCCTGGCAAGACGATTCCAAAAAGTGTGGGACAAATGCAGGGTGTTTCCAAAGGGAGACCCCCACATACACACCACCCCAGATGGGGATCCTTGGAAGGTGGTTTCCAGACAAGGGCCTGGTCAAGGTCATTGGCAGATCTGGAGCTGTGTCTGGATTGATTTGGGTGGGTTCACTGGGTGATCTGTCAGGGTCCGAGGGATGGGAGGAAGGGGGCAGGGGTAGGGACAGGGGTTCTTAGAGGAGACTGGCCCTGTTCTTCTCACCTTCCTTCTTCTTCCTGGAGGAAAGTGTCTGAGAAGAAGTTTTAGGGATGAAAGGGATCAGAGGTGAGGGCTGGGTGAGGGGCTGAGGCTGGGGTCAGGGGGCGCAGGGTCAGGGCAGTTATGGGAGCAGGGAGTCGCCTGCATCCCCCAGTGAGGGCCATGGGCCAGTCCCAGCTGGGGAGAGCCAAAGTCGGGGCTTTCAGGGTCCCAGAGAGCACAAGCTCTACGGCACTTGCCTTACTCGGCCACCCTGGCACTCCGTGTGGTCTCCCAAGTCCTGCCAGGAGTGATCCCTGAGCACAGCCAGTGTGCCCCCACCCACCTGCACTCTGTAAAATAGACCAAAACACAATCCCCATTCAGGGCCTGAGCCCCTCTGCTTGCCTAGGCCGTGGTCTCACTCGCACCCCGAGGGGCAGGGAGGCCGTTGCAAGGCAACTGGAGTTTCCAAGTTTCCGCTGCAGTGACAGAGACGGTGACGCAGACACCCCAGGGAGGGATTCCCAGGGAAGGCGGGGGGGGGGGGGGGGGGCTGGGGGGGGCAGGGACGAACCTTGTGCTTTTCGGTAGCAGTAGGAGGAAAGCGTCTCTGCCCTGGCCATTGCCCCACCCCCCGCAGCATCCCTGCAGCACCAGGGGGCTGAAACCCTGGAGGCTCCGTTTCCGGGGCCAAAATTCCACTCGGGTCCCTGTGGTCTCCTCTGGGGGAGGCTCTGAGTCATCTACCCCAAGTCCTCTGACACTGGAGAGGGAAGCAAACAGCAGGAGCTGAGAGGGAGGAGGCAACCTGTGGCTGAAGAAACAGCGCAGGGGTGGGTCGCGTGCGTGCCTGGCATGCAGCCACCCCCCTCCATAGGGCCCCCTGATTCCTGCCAGGAGTGACTCCACCACCCAGAGTCAGGAGCAGGCCCTGAGCACCATCGAGTGTGGCTCCCCCTCAAAAATGGAAGGAATAGGCGCTGGAACGATAGCACAGCGAGTAGGGTGTTTGCCTTGCACACGGCCGACCCGGGTTCAATTCCCAGCATCCCATATAGTCCCCCGAGCACCACCAGGAGTAACTCCTGAGTGCAGAGCCAGTAGTAACCCCTGTGCAACGCCCAAAAACCAAAACCAAAACCAAACCAAACAAAAAACAAGAGGGATAAGCCTGAACGATGGGCAGCCTCTATGCAAGCCTGGTGTCTGACCGGACTTCGCCTTATACCCCCAGACCTGGCCTGGCAGTTATACCTGGCCTTATACCCCCACCCCACCCTGTGCATGCTGACACCTCAGCCTTCACCCACAGAATCTGAGGGCATTTGGGGTCAGAGGAGCGTGTATGGCAATCATTGCTCAGACCCCACGTCTGAAGTCAGGCCACAAACTCCAGCCATCTTCAGCCAACTCCCTCTAAGATTAGTGCCTTTCTGAGGGCTGAGTCCCATGCTCTGAGGGGACAGCGGGGCAGAGGTCAGAGGGGAGCCTCTTTCCCACACTGGCCTGGCTCTGGCCTCAGGGGAGAGGTTTCACGGGTCCCTGGAGGGGGTTGGACTGCAGGAGGCAGCAGATTCCAGACCCCCCACCCCACCGCACCCCGTAGCCTCCTCCTGCCTGTGACTCAGCCCTTTCCACACCCCCAGGGTGCCCCAAATCCATTCCAGACCCCAACTAGGAGCAGATGTGACTTTTAGTCCCTGCCAGTCTCAGTGTGGGGTCCCCCAGAGGCACAGTGGGGGTGGAGGGGCGGCACTGGGCTCTCCACGCCTCTGGGGATGCTTCTTCTGATCTTCGGTCCACATCCAGCATCCACTAACCCCAGATCACACCCCCTCAGCACCCGCATCCTTCCCTACCCCACAGTCTGCCGCTCTGTTGTTGGTTCTGATTTCTTGTTTGGGACCTCACTCATCCGTTAGTGCTGAGGGCTGACTCCTGACTCTGCGCTGTGGGATCCACTCCTGGCTGGACTCGGGAACTCTATGGGGTGCCAGCGATGGAACCCGGATCAGCCACGTGCAAGGCGAACACCTTTCCTCTATACGCTCTCTCCTGCCCTTTTTGCTGTTTGGGGGCCGCACCTAGTGGTGTTTGGGGGATTTTCCTGGCATGGCTCACAGGACTTGTAGGGATCAAACCTGGTGGGCGCTGCATGCAAGGCAAGTGCCTTCCCCCATACTACCTCTCTGACTCCTTTGCCCCCCTCTGAACCCCAGTCCACAGCCCAGCACACCCCAGCAGCCCCCACGCTGCACCCCCAGGCTCCCTCAGACATCAGCCTCTGTGCTACTGAGAATCTTTATTGAACTTGCTCAGCTTTGTTTACATGTTGGGGGAGGAGCCCTGAGTCCAGGGAGGCCCAGCTGGCAGACCTCCCCCTCCCCCGCTCCCCCCATTGCCCCCGCCCCTGCCCCGCCCTCTCCAGTCTTCACTTCTTCCGGGGCTCCTTGTCTGGGCAGCCCTCAAAGAACTCATTGCACATCATGGCAATGCAGGACAGGAAGACGCAGTACTCCTGGAAGTCCACCTGGTTGTCCCTGTTGCTGTCCAGGTTGCTCATCAGTTTCTGGAAGGCTGCTTCATCCGTCCTTTTCTGCCAGGAGGAGAGGGAGGAACCGGAAGTAGTGAGGAGCTGGAGCACTGAGTGATGACAACATCTACCTGCAGGGCTGAGCTCAGGGAGGGGCAGTCGGGAACCCCAACCCTCAGGGCTACAGCAGAGAAGGAGAGCCCACCCCTCTCCCCTCAATGACACAGCCCCACCCTCCACACCCCCAGTGGTCTAAGCCCACTGGGTCCTGGGCAGCGGCTGCAGCTGGGTCAGGGGAAGCTGTATTTGTGGGGTGTCTCAGCATTGGGGTCTGTGTCTAGAGTCCTCGGCATGACGACTGAACCCCAGACAGCAGCCTCGTGCTGAGGCATGGACACGCGGGCGTCTGAGTTCTCTCTTCACTGCTGGGGGTTCCATGTGGCCCTCGCACTGTGGGGCCTCACCCCCTCCTGCATAGCCTTCTGTCCGCAGTAAGTGGGGCCACAGCAGAGCTCCCCATTGCCTTTGCCCAGCACAGGGAGGGCTGCCAGCTGGAGCCCAAACTCTCCAGGGAAAGACGGACGGCCTGCGGGGCCCTCCACACGCAGTGGCCACTCACCCCCAGGAAGCTGGGCAGCTCCCGGCTCAGCAACTCCTTCAGTTCCGACTTGTTGAGCTTGAACTTGTCGCCCTCCTTGCCCGAGTACTTGTGGAAGGTGGACACCATCGTGTCCAACGCCTTTTCTAGGGGGCTTGCCATGGTGCAGCCGGGTCTGCGGGCACAGCACAGGGGACACCCTCATTGCCCCACTCCCTGCCCTAAAGGGCCTCCAGAGCCTGGAGCCCTCGCTGAGACTGTCCCCCTCAGCAGGGCAGGGGTCGAGGGCATGGGGTCCGGCTCCCGAGGGTGAGGGAGGGGTCACTGGCAACTCCCCAGGCACCGATTTGCACCCCAGACCCAAACCCTGGGTCTCTGCTGGTGCTTTTTCATCCCTCCGGCCCATCCATTCATCCTCTCCTGCCCATTCTTCTCCCAACCCACACGGGGCAGTGGGCGAGGCAGCTGGATCCATGCCCAGTGGTCAGCAGTGGAAAAACCCAGCGGCTGGGCCCAGCCTGGGGGAAGCAGCAGCTGTGAAGCGGCAGAGATGCAGGGCGGGGCCGCAGTGCAGGATGCGGTGCCGGGTGTAGGGCAGAGGCTCCCAGGAAGCCCAGACCCCAGCCAGCGGTCACCTCTGCCCCACAGGTGCCTCCCAGTAAGCACCAACCACTGAGATACACTGCCGCATGGCTATAGTGGAGCTGGCGCCAGCCCAGTGCAGCTTCGATCCAGCCCTGCATGCACTGCTTTCTCTGCACACATGCCAGTGGCATGCATGCACACGCACACATATGCACACACACACACACACACACTTGCACCAGGCCACACAAACCCTCCCACCACCTCCACATTGCCAATGCACATCTGCACCCTGTTAACACTCATCCGGCCGCCCCCCACCCCACCCCGACCTCCCCGGGCCCAGCTCCGCCTGCCACCGCTGGCGTGCCAGTGAGCGACCACAACTCACCAGACCGAGAGAGAGGAAGCTACAGGGACAGAGAGAGGAACAGAGAGGAAAGCCTCGGTCTGACTATTTATACCCCTGCCAGGCCCGCCCATGGCAGGGGCTGGGGGGAGTCAGCCGCCTCCGCTGGGCCTGGCCTCAGAGCAGCTCCCCTGGGCGGGGCGGACATGAGAGGGCCTGGAGAGAGGGGGGCACTCCCAGCAGCTCCGAGGGGTGGGTATCCCCAGGGTGAAGGGTCTTAGGGAGCTGGAAGAAGGGAACGGGGCGGGGAGGGAAGACCAGGGAGGGGATGCAAGAGTGGTGGGGGAGGGGGAGAATGTGGCTCGGAAACTGCAGCACCCCCAGAACTAACAGCAGGGAGCACCAGGCCAAGGGGGCACAGGGCAGGCTGGGGGTGTGGGCAGCGACACCCCAGGGAGGGCTGGGGGCCACCCCACATCAGGGAGAAAAGTGCTGGGTGAGGGTCCATGGAGAGGGGCGTGGGGCATGGGGGGTGCAGGGAGGATAGTTGGCGGGGAGACTCAGTGTCGGGGTGCAGCTCAGGGTATAGAGCTGAAAGGCACAAAAGCGGGGAGGCAGGGAGCACTCCCTGAAGGTGGGGGTGGCTAAGAGTATTGCTCACCATCCCAAGAGGGTGAAGGTAGCTGCAGCTTCAGAGATGAGCTCCCTTCCAACCTGGCTAGGACACCTGAACCCCCTCGAGGCTGCTCTATCCCCTCCAAGGCACCCCACAACCCCACCCCATTCCTGCAGGGGAACTGCCCGGGCAGAGAGATGACCCCCTTGGCCTGGCAGCTGAGAGGGTTCAAGCCCCCACCCCACATAGGGCCCACCAGCAGTGATCCCTGAGCAGAGCCAGGAGTAAACCCTGAGCACTGCTGGGTGTGGCCCAAACACAGAGCCAAGAGGGATCTTTCCCCGAGTCCAGGAGACTCCTGACTCCCCCCGGCTACCCAGTTCCCGTGCACAGGCTCGAGGCTGTCCTGGCCATGTGTCCTCCCCGGCCCAGGAGTCAGAAGAAGCAGAGTCAGTATCATGAGGCCTTTATTAATTAGTTCAGGGGGTCCCGTCCTGGTCTCAGCCCTGGTCTCGGTGTCAGTCTGACAGGAGAGGATGGGGTGTGGAGTCCTCCAGGCTGGGCAGAGGCTACTGGCCACAGGGGGGCTCTGTGGGGCACCCCTTTAAGTACTCATGGCAGTAGACGCAGAGGCAGGCGACCGCCCGCATAAACTCCATGAAGTCCACCTCGCAGTCCTTGTTGGTGTCCAGGGCACTCATGAACTTGTTGTAGTCACACTCACGAAGCTCTGTCTGCGCAGGCAGGGGACAGCCAGACAGTTGGAAGATAGTTCCACGTGCCCCACACACAGCCCCCTCACCCTACTGGAGCCAGCCTCGGTTTCTGCCTGCTACCCCCCACCACAACCCGCCCCTGCCCCTGCACCCAGGATGCTTGGAGGTCAGGAGGCCTCTGTGTGAGTGTGTAAGGGTGTGTGTGTGTGTGTGTGTGTGTGTGTGTGTGTGTGTGCGTGCGCGCACGTGCGCATGCACGCATGCACTGTATGTACTGTGTGTGTGTGTGCTGTGGGGGTCCCTTTCTCCAGACCCCCAACAAAGCGGCAGACTGGATCCCTTTCCTGCCTCCACCCTCTGACTATGCTGGGCTGGTGCCCCGTGTGAGGATGAGGGTGCCCCATGGAGGGATATGGGTGTCCTGGGGGGCTGTGGGTGCCCCAGGGGGATGTGGGTGCCCACAGGATGCCACCACTCACCGGGCCCAGGGTGGGTAGCTCCTTCTGCAGCAACTCCTTGAGCTCCGACTGGCACAGCTTGTGCTTGTCCCCACAGCGCCCCGCGTACTCCTGGAAGGTGCACACGATGGCGGCCACCGCCTTCTCCAGGGGCCGGGTCATCCTCCCTGCAGAGAAGATGAGTTTCCCTGTAGGCAGCACCCCACACCTCTCTCCTCCTTCATGCAGCCCTCCTGGACCAGGCCTCAGAGAGATGCCATCTTCTGAGAAGCCCTCTGGACCATGCCATCTCCTCTGGCTGTTCTTGGCCCTGAGGGGTCTCAGTTGCCCCTAACCCCACACCCTCAGGGTCTCCCCCACCACTACCACACACACCCCCAGACACAGCCCAGGGCTCCTTTGGGGAACCGAGGTGTGGGGAGATTTGCAGGGGTTCCCTGTCCCAGGCCCGGGGAAAGAGGGGTTCTCTCTCAGAGGGTCTGTGCAGAGAGGGACCCCCACAGCCTCCCCAACATCCCCATCCCCCCACACCCGAGGAAGCTGCCGTCGGGGGTTCACTCTCTCAAGCTAAGCCACCCTGACCCTCAGGTGCCAGACCTGTAAAGTCGGGTTCACTACACCTCACAGGCACCCCCCACACACACTGCAGTCCAAGTGCGGAGTCTCAAGGGAAGTCAGCGTGTTTGGCCACCCCTGTGGAGAGTGTGCAGACACAGGGTCTGTCCTATTAGGAGAGCCCCCACCTCGAATTGCACCTTTCCACTCGCCTTCCGTGGCCCCCTGGGAGCTGCCTCCAGCCTGGGGAACCCTCAGGCAGCCGAGGGAGCGTGTTTGCGTGTTTTCCTTCCAGCCAGAGCTGGTGACTCACTCACCAGCTGCCCCAGGGAGTCCTGTAGAGTCCTGCCACACCCGACCGCCCAACCACGGCCAGGGCCGGGGTTCCTGCTCTGAGCCTCCTGTCCTCCAGAGCAGAGGCCACAGCAGGAGGCCTCAGGGTTTCCGGTCAAGGAGGAAATGCTCCTCCTCGGCCCTTCTAGCCCACCAGGCACTTGGCCTGCTCCAGCTGCTTCTTTAGAGCTCTGTGCTGGAGGCAGAGGGGACCCCACACCACAGGACGCCCAGACTGAACTCCCTGCCACATCCACAGATGAGGGGAGGCTAAGGGATGAGCACTGCCCCCAGTCTCAGCCCTAGCCAGACCTCCCAGCAGCCCCTCACTGCCCAAGGGACCCCGAGCCCTCCACCTCCAACTACCCTCACCTCACCAGTCCCTGCTGAGGACTCCCTTGACCCCAGGCCAGTGGCGGGCCGGCTTGAGGGAACCTCCCAAGCACCCTACATGCAACCCGGGGTGGACCCACACAGGAGACACTCACCACTGTCTGGGGCTCAGCCTGAGGGCCAAGTGCCGGGCCATCTCTATTTGTAGCCTCCCAGGAGAGGAAGAGGGCAATTACTGGCCCAAGTAGGTCAGAGTGAGGGCGCCTACCCTCCCCCACCCCCAGCTCATTTAGAGGCTCCACGCCCACCCTTGGCTCTCACACATCAAAGCCGTCTGGGCCAGGACGCCCCCAGCCTCTCCCAGAGTCATAACTCTCCTCCCAGCATAGTGAAGGAGGAAGATGAGGCCTGTTCCTCTCTCCTGAGGACACCCTAGGATGCAAATGGGGTGCAGTCCAGCCTGGCAGACCTTTGACCCTCAGAGGCCTGATGACGCAGATGTGGTGAGACCCTCACTAGAGTTGGGTGCTGGAGTGACTCCCCAGATCCCGGGGACCCACTCCAGCTCTCTAGGTGTTCTCTGGCACTGGGGTATGTCAGAGGCCCCGGAGAGTTTCTCAAAGGCCAAAGGAGGGGCATCTAGTACACACAGCCTGCCCTCCCACTCTGTCAAGGCCAGGCTGGGGCGGTTTCAGTGGTTCTTAGCTTACATGGGAGGCCATCTGGGGTCCCAAATGATGGAGAGTGTCCCCCGCTCCCCTCCTGAGGTAAGCTCTGAGCTACACCTCTGCTTCCCTCCTCTACTTGGGCTTAATTCCCCCAGGTGGGAACTGCGGGGGCCCCATCTCTCCTCCGGCTTCATGCTTTACCAGTTCTTTGGTGCTTTAAAGAACATTTGTTGTTTGGGGTTTTGTTGGGGGTTTGGTTTTTGTTTTGGGGGGGCAGAATGTTTGTTTGTTCAGCAGTGTTCAATGCTTACTCCTGGCTCTGTGCTCAGGGATCACTCCTGGAAGGCTCAGGGAACCCTATGGAGTGCCAGGGACCAAAGAAGAATTGGCCACAGTTAGGGCAAACCCTTACCAGCTGTTCCACCGTTCCATGCCCAGAGGTTATTTTTTTCTCACATCAGTCCAGGATTTTTGCTGTTGATTTTGGCTGGAGTAGGCTTGGACTCCATATGACCAGAAACGTGAATCCCTTCTCTCTTTTCTCTTCCTTTCTTTGCTTGAGTCTCCAGACCTCCAGAGCGTTTGCCTGGAATGCCCTGAATGGGAACCCAGACCCAGACAGAGAGAGCGGAGTTGGGAAGGAGGCAGTTCTCAGGGCCCGGGGCAGTAATGATGCCCTGCTGGCTGGAACTGGGGGGTAGCCCCCAAGCTAACCACACCCTGGCCCCCAGCTTACAACACAGGTGCCTGTGCTCAGGGGAGGGAAGGAAACTCGGAACTGTGATTAACCTGCTTTATGGGCAAAAAGTTATGAGGAGGAGAGGGCAGGAGCGGGAACCGGAGTGAACCAGCAATTAATTTAGTTCTAGGTCAAGCATCAGTTCCCACCTGGCAGAGCAGGATTCTGCCCCCTGACTCCTCCTGCCTCCTTCTCCACTGTCACCACCTGGGAACCCCCACTCCACAGACCACACAGGATCCTGGAAACAGTGTCTCAGTGAAACGGCAAAGAATAGCACCACTTCCACCCAAGGAACTGAGACAAATGAAAGCTCAGCTTCAATAGTGTGGTCTGCTCACAAAAGAATCACCAAACTTCCAAACAGAGGTCCCAGGTACAACTGCTGTGACACTGTCACTCGTTTTCCCAAGTTTGTTCATTCCTTCTCCACCCAGTGATTGTTCAGAGTGACCATAGCCCGTCATGGCTCTTGGACCCAAGGAGGGCACCTACCTCAGACAGGACATCAGCCTCGCAGGGCACACTCATCCCTCTCCCGGGCACAGGCACATGGGCATGCGCACATGCAAACACACACACGTGTGTACACATGCACAGACATGCATGCGCATACATCTTTATGCACACATGCACACATATACACATGTGCCTTTTGCACCCTCTCAAGAAAGAGGGCCCTTAGCACCAAATAAAGGGTGTTTGGAAGATCCTCCCAGGAGGGGAGATACATGTTGAAAGTAGACTATGGACTGAACATGATTGCCACTCAATGCCTTTCTTGCAGACCACAACACCCAAAAGGAGAGAGAGAACAAAAGGGAATGTCCTGCCACAGAGGCAGGGTGGTATGGGGGGATGGGTGTGGGAGGGATACTGGGATCTATAGTGGTGGAAAATGGGCACTGGTGGAGGGATGGGTACTTGATCATTGTATAATCGAAACCCAAGCACAAAAAATTGTAAATCTATAACTGTACCTCATGGTATTTCACTAATAAAAAAATTAAGTTAAATTAAAAAAAAAAAGAGGGCCCTTAGGAATATTTCTTTGAGGGACCAGAGCCACAGTACAGCAGAAATGGCATTTGCCTTGCACACGGCAAACCGCATATGGTTTCCCACGCACCACCAGGAGTGATTACCAGTGCAGAGTCGGGAGTAACCCCTGGGAGTTAGGTCATACCCAGCAGTGCTCAAGGGCTCAGTCCTGGCTCTGTGCTCAGAGATCACTCCTGGAGAGACTTGAGAGACTCTATAAGTGCCAGGGACCAAACCCAGGTCTGCCAGTAGCAAGTCAAATGCCTTCCCTGCTGTACTGTCTCTTCGACCCAGACACAGCCTTTTCTTATGAGAAAGAAAAGTTTAACACAGAAATGAAACCAATAGCCTAGACACTGGAACAGAGAAGAACCGTTTATAGGGAGCAAAGCAGGGGACTTTGGTGACTGGCAGGGATGTGGCGCGGTGGCAGAGCGTTTGCCTGGAATGTCCAAAGCCAACGGTTTGATTCCTGGCACACATGAAAATACTTAGAGTGGCAGGTGCCTGCCTGTGGCTCAGTTTCCCAGCAACTATGAACCTTCACAGCCTCACCCCCCTTTCGCGTAGCACATTTGTTGAATTATCTGTCATAGCAAGACACTGGGCTTGGTAGCGGGATGGCATGGGTCTGTGGGTCTCAAGAAAAGCTAAGTGCATTTTGCTTGCAGAAAGGCAGTAAATTGGAGTTGCTAAAAGACAAACACGTAGGGGCCAGAGCGAAAGTACAGCAGGTAGGGCATTTGCCTTGTGTACAGCCAACCTGGGTTCCATCCCCGGTGTCCCATATGGGCCCCTGAGCCCCGCCCAGAGTGATCCCTGAATGCAGAGCCAGGAGAAAGACCTGAGCACTGCCAGGTATGCCATCTCCCAAAAAAGATAAAAGCATATCACACCCCCCAAACTGCTGATGTCTGCTTCCTGCATGCTGCTCCCCACATTCAGAGATGAATTCTGTTCTTCCACACCCCCTTGAATCTGGGTCAGCACTGAAGTCTTGCTCGATTGATAGAAGGTGGCAGAAATGGTATGTTTAAGCAGGCTGGAGATGTAGGTCAGTGGTAGAAGCACTTGCCTTGCAAGCGTGAGGCCCTGGGTTCAATTCCCAGCACCACCAGGAATAAATAAGCTGAGAAAAGGTGTGTTGAGATGTGGGAAACATTTTATTTATTTATTTATTTATTTGCTTTTTGGGTCACACCCAGCGATGCTCAGGGGTTACTCCTGGCTCATGCACTCAGGAATTGCTCTTGGCGGTGCTCAGGGGACCATATGGGGTGCTGGGAATCAAACCTGTGTCGGTCATGTTGGCTGCATGCAAGACAAATGCCCTACCCGCTGTGCTATCGCTCCAGCCCCGGGAAACATTTTAAAGGGCCTCACTGCTCTCTTATAGCTTTCTTGAGTTGCTCAAGAGGTCATGGGTAAATATTTTAGAAGAAAAGCCCAGGGCAGAGAAATAGGACAAGGTATAGTACTTGCCTTGCATACCGCTGATCCCTTCTGTATGTGGTCTCCCAAGCTCACTCCTCCAGGAGTGAGCCAGCCAGGTACGACCACCCCCCACATAAAAAAAAAAAAGAAAGAAAAAGAGGACTGGAGAATAGTACAGCAGGTAGGACACTTGCCTTGCACATAACCAACATGTGCTCGATCCACAGTACCCCATATGGTTCACTGAGCACTGCCAGAAGTGATCCCTGAGCACAGAACCAGCAGTAACCCCTGAGTGTCACCAGGTGTGGCCCAAAAACAAAAACAAAAAATGGGAGGAAAAGGAAGGAAGGAAGGAAGGAAGGAAGGAAGGAAGGAAGGAAGGAAAGAAGGAAGGAAGAGATTCAACTGAGAACACCTCATTGAACCACATGGAACACTGAGAACACATTGAAGAATATTCCCCAAACGTTGAATGGGAACCAGAGAGTTGGTAGTGTGTGATGCAGCCTCTGAGTCACTGAGGAAGCCCTGAAACACACACACACACACACACACACACACACACACACACACACACACACATACACACACACATACACTTGCATCTTACAGTGCAAGGAGTCTACAGGGTCATTCATTAAAGCCTGTGAGTCAGGTTTTTGTAGCTTTTTTTTCTTTTTGGGTCACACCCAGCAATGTTCAGGGTTACTCCTGGCTCTACACTCAGGAATCACTCCTGGAAGGGCTCGGAGGACTATATAGGACGCTGGGGATTGAACCTGGGTTTGCCACGTGCAAGGCAAACACCCTACCTTCTGTGCTACCGCTCCCAGTCCCAGGTTTTTGGTAGCTTAATAACTGCTGCATCACTAACTCAGAATCTGATAGCTGAACATGGAACTCATTGCTGGAACATGGAACTGAATGGAGAGCAAAGAGTGATACACAGGCTGTGAAGTTCTGCGGGCTGGACAGGTGGTGGCTGTGATCTGAGACGGGAGTGCGTTTGCTCAGTCTGTCAATGACACAGCAGCGTGGCAGCTCGGGAAATGCTAGAAAAGATTAAAACACTGACACAAGGGCAGGAGAGAGAATGCAGTAGGGATGGCACTTGCTTTGCATGTGGCTGACCCAGGTTCAATCCCCGGCACCACATAGGGGCCTCCCAGCCGCCTAGAGTGATTCCTGAGCACAGCCAGGTGTGGACCCAAAATAAAACCAAAAATGACCGGTCTTGAAATCCCAGAATCTACGACTCCGGCCTAGAAGTGTCAAGGCTCTTGGGATACACCTGCCCTCCACCACCACACTGTGCCCGCAGGTCATGGAGCGCCCTGAACAATCACAGTCTTATCTACAAACCAAACGAGTTTAATGAGTGCAAAAGGGAAAGGGCGGCGCCGTCAGGGCCGGCCCTGGTAGTCCTGGAAGAAGTCGTTGCACATGACGGTGACGAGGGCCAGGAAGACCGCGTACTCCTGGAAGTCCACCTCCTGGTCACTGTTCTCGTCCAGGTTACCCATGAGCCTCTTCAGGCCCTCCTCATCCACCTGCTCCTGAAACAACAGCAGGGGGCATGGTTCAAGGGCAGCGCTTGACCAGGGCTGGGGAGGGGAGGATCACCATCAGAGACATGGGCGGGGGTGGGGTGGGGGTGGGGGGCTCTGAGGGGGAGTATCAGCCCTGGCAGCTTCTCCAACTCTCCCAGACAGGAGTGGGAGTGGGAGCAACCAACCCTCCCCCAGGAGCTCAGTGAGTTGGAGGCTTGTCCCCCTCTCCTCCACCTCACTGCTGGGAAAGACTCTGTCTGGGGACACACAGCACCCCAGACACAACATAAATTCATAAAAGGCAGAATCTTTATTTGTTTCTTTGTTTGGTTTTGGTTTGGGGCCACACCAGGTTGCTCAGGGCTTACTCCTGGCTCTGCACTCAGGAATCACTCCTGGCAGTCCTCTGGGACCATATGGGATCCAACCCAGGTCAGCCGCGTGCAAGACAAACATCCTACCCGCTGGACTACTACTGCCATACTATCTCTTCAACCCCTATTTGTTTGTTTGTTTGTTTGATGGGAGGGTGGTACTCAGCTCTTGACAGGGTTGGGATACCCTGTGTGGTGCTGAGGATGGAACCTGTGGCGGGCAAGGCAAGAGACTACCCACTGTCCTGTCTCTCTGTTCCCAACAGGCAACTTTTCGGTGCCAGTCAAAATGAAAACCAAATGTGAGGGAGTCGCACCTGGGCTCTGAGCTCGGGGCTGCTTCTGGCTCTGAGCGGGCGGGGCCCGGGGGATCAGGAATCAGACCCGGGGCGCCTGCATACAGAGCATGTGCTCAGCCCACAGAGCCTCTCCCCAGGCCTGTCAGGGAGTTCTGGCCAAGCTCAGTGTGTCCACACACGTCTGTGCCCTGAGTGCCACACTGGCGACAGATGACTTGGACACAGGTTGAGGGCCCACGGCACAGACCCAGTGTCTCTGCACAGGTCCAGGCGCACACCCACCCACTATCCCGTCCCACTGGTGGGGGGAGAGACAGGGCAGGAGCCTGGGACCTGGGCCAGGCCGCCCCCTCCAGCTCTGTGTGAGGAGTTGGGTCGGAACTCCATGGCCACCTAGGAGAATGGAGGTGAAGCAGGTGCAGCCCCTCACTCTGCACCCAGAACCTGAATAAAGTCAGGGAGGCAGGACAGCTGGTGCCTCCCCCCCACACACACACTGGGACCCCCAGGGCAGCCCAACCACTCACACACACTGGAACTCCCTATGAGCCCATGATCCCACACACATACTGGGACCCCCATGGGCCCATGTACCCCTACACACATCAGGACCCCCGTGTCCACTCTCCCCTATACACATGGGGACCCCTGGCACCCACTCACCCCTACACACTAGGACCACCCCCAATAGCCCACTCACCCACACACACAGCAGGACTCCCCCAGATCTACTCACCCCCACACACGAAGTTCCCCAAGGTGGTCCCACTCACCCCCACAAAGCTGGGCAGCTCCTTACGCAGAAGTTCCTTCATCTCGCCCTTGCTCAGCTTGAACTTGTCGCCCTCGGTGCCCGAGTACTTGTGGAAGGTGGTGACCAGCACCCCCAGGGCCTGCTCAAGGGGGCTCGACATCTTGGCCACGGGCTGCAGGGGTGCAGATGTCTCAGCTTAGCCCAGACACAAACCCCCCACTCCCGCCCCCTGAAGGGGACGGTGGGGCGACGTGTCCCCACAGACAGATGAGGGAGAGTGAGAATCATTTAGAGTTTGCATCACGGACACGAGCCACCTCCAGTGACCTGGCCACACCCTCGAGGCAGGGACCCTCCATGTGTCTGGAGGGAGGAAGGAGCCTGACCCCATCGCTAGCCCTTGGGCATTTCCTCTAGAGCTGAGGGTTCTCTGGGAGCCCAGGGGGAGCTCCAGGCTTCTCAGGGACCTGCAGGCTTGGAGGTCTGCTGAGCTTGGGGTCTGCTGGGCTCTGCCGTGGTCACGCCTGTGGCTTAGAGGTGCAAGCTGTTCTCCTCCCCACTCTGGCTCCTGAGGGCCTCTGTTCCCTCTGAATGTCCCCCCGACAGAGATGCAGGGTGTCTCTGCACACAGGGAGCAGGTCAGAAGGTGAAGGGGCTCCCCACCATGCAACTAGAAGGGCTGGAGCAATAGTAACCCAGGCAGGGTGTTTGCCTAGCATAGGGCTGACTCAGGTGCAGTCTCTAGAACACCACAGGGTCCCCAGAGCCCTCCAGGAGTTATCCCTGAGCACAGAGCCAGGAGCACATGCCAGGCGTGGGCCCATGTGCAGTGCCCTGGGGTGACACAGAAATCCTGGGACTCAGGGACAATCTCAGAGGTCGCCATCCTGGGGCCTCCCTGAGAAGTCCTGAGGGCATGGTGCACTCCAGGGTGGGGAGGAGCGAGGGGCCACAAGCTCCATGGCAGGACCCGTGTCCCCATGTAGGCAGGGACCCGCACGGCCAGGACTCCAGACTCCTCCTGTTGTTTCACGAGGGACTTTGTGAATCAAAATCCCAAACGAGCCCCAAACAAACCCAGAGCTCTCCTTAGAGCACATACACACTCACACACATACACACACACACATGCACACAGACACACACTCGCACATGTGTACACACAGACACAGATACACACATATACACACGACACATATATACACTCACCCTCTCTCATGCACTGAACACACGCTCACACCCCCACATGCACACACTCATGCACTCACACACATGCACACACATCCTTTCTCACACATGCACACACACACACACACACACACACATTCACACCCTCTCCCACATGCTCACACACAAGTACTCCATAATTCCGGGCACAGACCCCCCCCCCCCAAGAAGGCTCTCTGGGTTGGCACACCCAGCATGGGGCCCCGAGACAGAAAGACCCCAGAGAGGGTCTCAGAGTGACCCCCTACACTGAACAACCTGGAAAATCCTTATCTCGTACATCCTAGAAGGTTCCCCGGGGGAGAGGCCCAGAGAGCGACTCAGGCCACCAATGATGGCAGAGTGTGCCAGCCCTGGGGACCAGGCCAGGGTGCCCTAAGCACATAGCTACTCACCAGGACAGAGGTACAGAGGGAGCCAGGAAGCAAGCGGCCCAGAGCCTGGCGTGAGGATTTATAGGCAGCTCCCCGGGCCCCAATGTGGCACATTCAGACCCAAACCTGCTCTGACCTGTTCTGGAACCCTGGCCTCCTGCCACTCAAGCCCTGCCAGGCCCGCTCCACCCCAAGCCACCAGCTCTGCTGCCAAGCTGAGGAGACCCCAGCCCCACCCAGGGGAGACTGAGGCAGCCCTACAGGAGGGGACAGTCCCAGAGCGGGGGAGGGGAAGGGGGGCAGAAGGGCAGAGATCGTACCAGGCTTCATTCTCGTGACCTGCCTGAGTCACAGCTAGTTCCTGTGCAAGGCTGTGGGGCCATGTCCGAACACCATGTGTGTACATGAGGGTGACACCATCCGGGACCGACCGGGGCAGGTGAGGGGTCTCCGGAAAAGGCGCCTGACTGGGCTGACCCCAAGCGAGGGGAACACATCACTTATTAGAAGTCCCAGTCGAGAGGAGGAGGAAGGAGGTGCTGAAGGCCCTTCACGGTCACAGCCGTGAACAGTCTGTGAGGCTGAAAGAGCAAACAGAAACTCGCCCCTACGACCCCCCCACCAGCCCCCCCCAGAAAGTGGCTCTCAGCCATCAGCACCTGGAGGAGGGGTGTCAGACACTCCACCCCTCCCTGACAGCCGTGCAGCCTCACCCTTCCTGGCCCCAAGCACTGCCTGCTGCTGCCGCCCCCTGGCCAGACCGCTGACTCACTGCTGGTCCTGCCACATGCCTGGGGCGTGACTCAGCTGAGGGCGCAGCCCTGCTCTGAAGGAGTGGGGGGGAACTGGTCCCAGGCACTTCCTGCACACCCCAACAAAGAGCAGATCAGAGAGCTCAGCTGCTCTCTGCCTGGGACACTGGGACAGGCTTGGGTGACCCCTCTGAGGTGGTGGCTGTCACCTCCCCAGAGCCTCCAACCAGCTTCCCACTCCTTCACAGGGTAGGGGTTACCTCAGTTAGGTTCCCTCTCACTGCATGGCCACTGAGCCCCACTGGGAGTGACCCCTGAGCACAGAACCAGGAGTCATGCCCCAGCACTGCTGAATGTGGCTCACTTTCCAGGGGAAAAAAAAAAACTCACAGAGGCCTATTTTGGGAGCAGCTTGGACTGAGAACCCTTCACGGGATAGTAAGGCCCGAGGGCCCAAGGCTGCATGGACACACTTCTTTTTTCTCCTCTGGCTGGAGAAGGCATGAAGCCCACGTCGGCTAAGGCAGTGACCCCAAACCAGCGGGGTCCCCCAGCTCTTGCACAGGGCTGGGAGGGCTGGCCCGACCTATACCCCCTGCATACAAATCTCCATGCATCCACAGGTCCACACACATGGTGGAGACAGGGACATGTACATGATATAAACAGAGATGAGCATGTGGTGTAGATAAGGACAATCACATGGTATAGGAAGGGATGACACATGGTGTAGACAGGGATGTTCACATGGTATAGACAGGGATGGCACATGGTGTAGACAGGAACATGCATGTGGTGTAAGGTGGGACCTGTTTGGTCTCTGTGCATATGGTGTAGACAGGGACATACACGCGGTGTAGACAGAATCCTACACCCAGCGTGACTTTGACCCTGGGGTCCAGCTTCCCCTGGCTCTGGAAGTGCCCTCCCAGCTGTCCTCCTGCTGACCTTCGGTTCCCCTCCCGAGGTGAGTTGACGCCTCCCACTTCACGAACTTCACTATGCGCAGGGACCCCTCCTCCATGTCAAGGGGGCCAGGCAAAGCCCTTCCAGTGTGTGCCAGGCTCTCGCCTTAGCACCCCAGGTGAGCTCACCCCCCAGGCGCTCCCCGGCTCAGGGGCTGGGGCGGCCTCGGGAGCCACGCGGGCCCTGCGCCTCGGATGACGTGCGTGAAGCAGAGCTTCTCTGCCCGGGAGAGAAACTGAGCCTCTGCAGGAAGCATCTTCCTTCCCAGGTCCGGGGAGGGAACCAAGGACGCAGGAGGCTGAGATTCCGGCCCATGTCTCTTCCCTGCGCACAGAGGGTGCAGAGACTGACCCCTAGCGTCCATCACGTCCCCCTGCAGGGGACGCGCGGAGCCCGGCTCTTGCCCTGGGCAGCTCGCGAGCTATCCGGGCCCGAGCTCTGCAGCCGCAGGGTTTTGCCCGCTTGCCTGGCGCCCCCTGGTGACTGAGACGCGCCACTGCGGGCGGGTCTCCCGCGCTCTCCCCACCCCGCGCCCGCCGCCTCCAGCCCACACCTGCAGCTCCTGACTCACCTGGGAGCAGGCAGAGCTGACTCACCCCGCGGAGCCTTCCCACACCCACGCTGCTCACCGGCTCGCGTCGAAGGGTCTTCACCAAAGGCCCAGGCCACGTCTGTGGAAGGAGCCAGATGCCCGCTCGCCAGGAGCGTTTTTAAAAGAGCCGGAGGGAGCCAGGTGGCAGAGGTGAAGGTCTGGACGCTGCAGTCTGGCCCGCCTCTCAGGGCAGCAGGGATGACCAGGCTTAAGCCCCGGTCTTACCGCTGAATCACAGGCAACCTGGGGGCGGGACGGGCCTCATGGCTGGGCTTAAACCTGCTCAGGGCCTGGATCTCTTTCATTACATCCCTGCCCTTCCAGATGCGCTTTGAAATATCTTCTCATAACAAACTGTATAAAGTAACTTTTTTTTTCTCATAACAAACTGTATAAACTGTATAAAGTAACTTTTTTTTTGGAGGGGGACTGGGAACTATGCCCTGCAGCACTCAAGGCTTTCTCCTGGCTCTTTGCTCACAGGTCACTCCTAGCAGAGCTTGGGGGACCATACGGGATTCCAGGGATCGAACATGGATCAGCTGAATGCAAAGCAAACGTGTTCCCCACTGTACTATCTGTCCAGTCCAATTTGTTTATTTCCTGTGCTGGGGATCAAACCCAGGACATCACACATGCAAAGCAAGTGTTCTTCCGCTCAACCATCTCCCGGCAGAAATAACTTTCCTAACTTCCCCCAGAGAGCACGTTCAGTGTGGGAGAAGGCATTGGGGCTTGGGTTCTGGCCCCTTTGGATTTGTTGAGGTCCGTTCCCACCTGCGTTAGGGAGCAGCTGCTGTGTGTGAGCTGGTTTCCAAACATCGACCCATTTTACCACCTGAGCAGCTATAGATGCTCTGTCCCCTGTACAGAAGCAGGCACTGGACTGAGTTCATACAGCTGACGGTCTGGACAATAACAGGTGTGCCTGATATTCATGTACGTGCAGCCCCAGTGTCAGAGAAGCCTCAGGAATCCTCACTTTCAGATTTCGGCTGGGACCAGGCTCACTGCAGCCCATGGCCCCCAGGAGCCTCTCTCTGTTCCCTTCCTCTTGTCCTCAGATGCTCTTAGCAGTGAACTTCCACCTCTCCCCCTCTGCCCTAATGAGCAGACCTGACTGGAACCGGGATGTGCCCTTACCTCCTCCTATCATGCCTGCAGATATCCCCCAGGGCTCAACCAGGTCAGCTTCTAAGCCCCACTTGACTCTGTGAGACTTCAGCAAACAGATCTTCCCTGTCACCTCACCCCTCTCTAAGGCCCCTCAGCTCTGCACCAGGTGGACAGTCCTAGAATTCAAATCTGAGCAGGGGGTCTCTCCAGGAGAAAGCAGCATGCAAGCCCCTCTGGAAGGCTGCATTGCAGCACCCCTTTCCACACCCAGCCCAACTGATGCCCACACCCCCCATGCCTAGGCCCTCTCTGGCCCCTGCCAAGTCTTTGCTCCATCTCCATCCCTCTTACCACTGGCTTAAAGATTATCTCTGTCGGACACCCCTGAATCTACTTCTCAGCCTCCCTGTTTCTTTGGAGAAAGTGCCTGCGTGCACACACACATATATGCACATGCACACACTCATACATGTATGTGCACATGCACACACAGAACCAGTGCTATGTGGGGCAGGGGCTCCGCCCTGAACTCCAGCAGCCCTTTGCCCAGCACACGTGACGGTACCTGTTGTGTTTAGTTGTGTTTGTGTGTCTTCCCCTCAAGGCTGGACTCAGATCAACCCTGAGCACCAGGAACTTCTGGTGCCTTAGTGCCAGGGCTGTCCTCAGGCGCCATCCTCTCTCAGCCCCCAATATTGGTCTCTAGAGCCGACTCTAAACTCACCCCCCTCCAAAATCCTCCCAGCTGACCAGCTGCCACTGACCAGCTCTCTCTGGTCACTGGAAGCTTCCTTCTCCTCAATTCTTCTACTAAGATCACAAAAGGGGGTCTCAGTAGCAGTCGTCATTCCCTTCCTTGGCCACCCCTAGTCTGGCTCCTTCTTCTTCCCCGGCCAGCCCTGCTCTCCCTGCTTACCTGTGACCCACCACCTACAGGGAGGGTGCTGTGTTCTCTGAGAGGTCAGGAGGAAGCAGGAAAAAAAAAAAGATTCTGTGAGTGTATGTATGTGTGTGTGTGTGTTAATATCTGAGTTTGTTGTGTCTGTGAGTGTGGGTGTGTGATGGTGTGTATGAGTATGTCTGTCTGTGTCTGTGTCAGAATGTATGTTGTGAACATATGTGTGTGAGAGTCTGTGTGTCCCTTAGTATGTGTGTCTGGGAATGTCTGAGTGTCTGTGTGTATGTGTGTGTGATTGTGAGAGTTTGTATGTGAGAGTATGTGAGTGAGTGCGAGTGTGTGTCTTTGTGTGTGAGTGTATGAGCGTGAGAATCTGTGTATATCTGTGAAAATCTCTCTGTGTGTGTCTGTGAGAGTCTGTGTGAGAGCCTCTGTATATCTATGAGTGTGTGTGGGTGAATGTGTGTGAGTGTATGAATGTCTGAGAATCTGTGTGTCTGTGTGTGTCTGTGATAGTCTGTGTGTATGAGAGTTTCTGTGTATCTATGAGTGTGTGTGAGTGTGTTTGTGAATGTGTTATGAGGTGTGAGCATCTGTGTGTGTGAGTATATGTGTGTCTGTGAGTGTGTGTTTATGTCTGCCTCACTCCCAACAATCCCTAGTTTCCGCTTCAGAGCCCCTCAACTCCTTTGATCTCCTAGAGTTGAGAGCATGAGGAGCACTTTCCTTGAATGTTCAACGTTCTATTCTCTCTCTCTCTCTCTCTCTCTCTCTGTTTTTGAGAGGGGGTGGGGTGAGGGATGACCACACGTGGCAGTGCTCAGATCTTACTCCTGATTCTGCTCTCAGGGATGGCTCCTGGAAGGCTCAGGGAACCATGTGGGATGACGGGGATTGAACCCGGGGCAGGCATTGCAAGGTCAGTGCCCTCCCCTCTGTGCTCTGGCCCCAGCCCCACCAATTCTGACACAGTGGTTCCTTGCAGATTCCTCCATGAAAAGAGCACCAGAACATCTTTAGTTCAGCTCCTGGGAGAGGGCTGAGCCCCATAAAGACCTGCCATGATTAGAAGCTCAGGGCTTGGAATTTCCAACCCAGAGCAAGGAGGGGCCTAACACCAGAAATAACCAGTTGCACCTACCTCAGGCCTTTGTGAAATCCCAGGAGGAAGGGTTCATACTTCCCCATGGGGGCACCTCAGGGATGTCCACAGGACCTGGGTAGCTGTCCTGGAATCCTCCCAGGCCTCACCCTGCCTCTGTGTCCCTTATCAGATCTTCCAAGTAGCCGGGACACGTGAGCTAGTCCATGGGTCCTGTGACCTACTGGAGCAAACTAAACCAACCCCAGGAGATCCCGTGCGAACCCCACAGCTGCAGATCAGGGGGTGCCCATAGCTGGGTGTGCACTGATACCTGGAACAGGGGCGGCCTTGTGGGACTGAGTCCCACCTGCCCTCTGACGGCTTCCTGAGCTGCTGAAAGTTCAGTGAAGGAGACTCGCAAAGCAGGAAGGCCCGGGGTCCTCTCTGGGCTTTCCCTGCCTGGGGAGCAGAATGAGTGTTTCCTCCGGGACAGTCTCCATCCACAGCTAGATTGGGGAGCATCCCAGTTCTCAGAGAGAAGAGGGGTACGAATAAGCTGCCCCTTCAGGATCCCCAGGATGGAGGCCTCCTCCTTCTTAGCCATCCACACTGTCCCGAACAACCAAAGTTATTCTTCAGGAAATTTGTTCAGTATCAAACTATCCGTGTGCCCCCATCTCTGGCCACTCTTTCCTTACCCCACTGGTGTCCCAAAAGCACAGGCCATGCCCCAAAGCCCAGGCCCTGAGGACTGGTCTGAGCTGGTCACTCCCACCAGCTACCAGACACTCAGTGCCTCCCAGGGTCAGGAGTTGGGAGCTCAGGCCAAGCCACCTCTACCATCTGCGAAATGAAGTGGCAAAAGTCAGCAATTCATCACTTGGTGCAGACAGGAGTAAGAATAGGAAGATGAGGATGAGGCCGGAGTGATAGCACAGCGGGTAGGGCATTTGCCTTGCACGCGGCCGCCCCAGGTTTGATTCCCAACATTCCATATGGTCCCCTGAGTACTGCCAGGAATAATTCCTGAGTGCATGAGCCAGGAGTAACCCCTGTGCATCACTGGGTGTGACCCAAAAAGAAAAAAAAAAGAACAGAAAGATGAACACCATCCTGGAGAGGTGTGCCCTGGCCTCTTCCAAAGGGCCCCAGGGACCTTCTCTGGTCTCCAACAAGGAGACTTCAGAAAAAGAAGAGTCTCAAGGGAGTTAGCGATAATCCCAAAAATTACAGGGTGTTGCTCACCATGAAGTTCTTTCAGAGATCTCAGCCCAGATGAACATGTGACGCCAGGAAGGAGTCAGAGGCGTCAAGACACTGTTGGCTTCTGGGTCAGAGTCTTGCCTTTGCTGTCTTCTAGCCATCCAGATCTTTTCATTCTAAGAGGCAGAAGTTCAACTCAAGCTCACTGAAGCATAGAAAGGAACATGCCATGCCATGCCCTTGGCAGAGGCTGGGGACGCTTCTGCAGGGCAGTGAGCCCAGTGCTCTCATCCAGACTCTGCCCACCGGCCTCGCTCAGGGGCGACAGGGCCTCACCCTGAAAGAGGACCATGGCTGGGCCCTGGTGACCCTGAGTTTAAGGAACGATCTTGATGAGCCCAGTTCCCGGACACAGCCCTATACCAGGCCTATTCGCAGGGGCGGGAATGCTAAGTGCAACTATCCGGTCAGATGCCAGGGCGTGCACAGTCCCTCCCTTCCCCAGAGAAGTGAGTTCCTCAGTCATTCCACAAGCCATGTGCCTGGTGAACGTTTGATCCTCCAAATCCCCATTTTCCCCTTGTGGAACACGGGGATACTCATGTTCTCTCTCAAGTCCAGTGTAAGGATGTATGTGAGAGCCACAGTGAATGTCATTAGATGCGGTGGTAGAAAGAAATCCCATGGATCAACTGGCACATCTGTAACAGAAAACCACAGTTGGGCCTGAAGCCACAGAAACCAGGGACAGCCGCCTCCTCCTGTCTCCCAGGCTGAGTCGCTGGTCCCCCGAGCTGGCTCACCTTTAGTCATCGGCTGGTACCAGGTCCCATGGTTGAAGAAAAAGTCATAGAGTAAACCTGGAATGTGAGAAAAAAATATTTGCTTTATTCTTTCTCCTAGATAAGAAAGAACCATATTTTCTTCCCATTACATATGGCAAAGTACCAGAGTCCAATTTCAAATCTAGCCTCTTGGTGACGGGCTGGCCAGCTCGAGTTCGGTAAGTGGCCTTCCTGGTATCACAGGTAAGGGAATTGCTTCCCTACATGGGGGAGCACACTGTCCCCCAGCTCACCTGGGAATATCTAACAGTCACCTCGTGCACCCAGCTGCCTCAGTTTGTTTGGGTTTCAAAGGGGCCTTCCTTCCCAGAAAACATCAAGTATGATTTCTGGGGTTTCTGGGATATTTGGGGTTACCATGTAGACATGGGAAAAAAAGAAAAGAACTGAGTCGGAGAATTATGTCTACATTGCAAAAAGAAAAAGGAGAAGGAGGAGGAGGAAGAAGAGGAGGAGGAGGAGGAGAGGGAGGAGAAGTAGGAAGGGAGAGGTGGGGAGGGAGAGAGGAGAAGGGGGGAGAGAGAGAGGAGTAAGAGGCAGGGAGGGGAAGGGGAGGAGGACAAGGAGAAGAGAGGGGAGGAGGAGGAGAGGGAGTGAGGAGGAGAAAGTGGGGAGGAGGAGCGGGGTGGGGAGAGGCCTTGCATATGGTCAGCATGAGTTCAATCCCCAGTACCCTACATTGTCCCCCGACCCTTCCAGGAGTGATCCTTGAGCCAGGAGTAAGCCCTGAGCCCTGTTGGGTGTGGCCCCCCCAAAACAAAAAACTACAAGCAAGGCTGCAGTGATCGTACCAGGTGGTAAGACACTTGCTTCGCAGGCAGCTGACCCAGGTACAGTCTCACACCCCACATGGTCCCCTGACACCACCAACACAGAGCCAGGAGTAAGCCCTGGGCACCACCGGGTGTGGCCCCCCAACAAAAACCAAACAGCAAGACCTCTTTGCTCAGGGCGGGAGCAGTAGCTCAGCCTCTCCGGGGTAGAGCACATGCTTTGCATGCCAAAGCCAGGGTTCAAGTCCCAGCAGCTCATGGTCCCCTGATTGCTGTGGCTCACAGTCCCCAATCACAGAGCAAGGAATTGCCCCTGGCACAGCTGGGTGGGGCTCCCCCTCAAAAGAAATATTTGCTCAGAACAAGGTCCTCCCAAGGTGGGACCATCAACCGGCTTTCTGAACTTGCCTTGGACCTGATAAATGCTCGTTCCTAGGAGACCCAGGGCAGCCTGCAGGTGGGAGGGGAGAAACCGGCCCTGCACAGGCCTCATTCTGAATAGACCACGAATCTGACTTAATCCAGCTACACTGCACTCTGGGTGTCGTCTGCGCTGATAGATCTGGGGTCAAGCTCCAGGGATTAATCACATAGCCAGGATCAGAATTCAGTCACCGTGATTCCTTCTCAGCCCACACCTGCTCTCTCTTCCTCTCCCTTTTCCACCCCGTGACCCGGTCATGGCCATGTGCAGTTGGTTCTCTGCCCCTTCCCTCTGTTCTCTTTCTGGGAGCACCAGACAATTTCTGGAACCTGCATTGTCCATCAGCCAGTTCCTCCCTCCCGGCACCCCCACTGAGCTTTACAAACCCCCAGATTCACCAGGCAGCATTGCAGTCACAAGTCCTCACTGAGTGCCCACAGAACTCAGCAGACCTTTCGGACACCCTCCAGTCAGCTTCCTCGGTGTCACAGCCACTGCCAGGGACAGCCAGCCCTCTCCCCTCTCCCTACGTTTGTCCTGATCAGCGCCATCCTGCCATTCAAAACTGGCTTGGTCTCCCCATATCCCTGAAACTCTCTGGTCTCCCCATAGCTAAAACCCTCCAGGCCACACTCCTCACCCACCTGGTCACACACAGTGATTAGTCAGAAGCGCTGCCCGCGCCTCGGGGTTGCTGAGGAGGGAAGCAGACCGCAGGCCCAGGGCACAGATGGAGAGTTACGAAGGGCTCAGCTGTAGACAGTGGATGGGGAGCTGGAGAATCACCCCAGGACTGCCTGACCGGGAGGTTCTCCCATGGGGAGTGCAAACACTGAGGCCCCCAGATGAGAAGGAGTCTAAGACAGAGGTTGGAGGGTAGAGGGTGGCAAAGGAGAGAATGTCACCAAGTCGAATTAGGGAAATTGGATCACTCGAGCCTGTAAGCCAGTGTAAAGAATTCAGAACTTATCTAACAACAGCAGAAGGTCACTGGAGGATTCACGTTGGAATCATCTCATTTAGGTCTTCAGGATGACTCTGGGTAACTCTCCAAGAAGAAGGCAGAGTAGAAGTTCGTGCATGTGTGTTTGTTCTGTTTGGGGGGCTCGTTTTTTGGATTGGTTTTGTTTTTTAATTTGGTTTTGGTTTTGTTTTTCTGGGGGCAGAGAGGGGGAGGCAGTAGGCCACACCCAGCAGTGCTCAGGGCTTACTCCTGATTCTGTGCCCAGAGCTTACTCTTGGCAGTGCAGGGATTGAACCTGATTGCTTTTCTTACATGGGCTTCAGCCGCTATCCTACCTCCTCCAGTCCTGTAGCAATTTTACATAGTATTTTTTCTTTGAGGGGAGGATTTTGGGACACACCAAAATGTGTCACACAGCAATGCTCAGAGCTTACTCCTGGCTCTATGCTCAGGGATCACTCCTCGAGGTGCTGTGGGGACCATATGGGGTACTGGAGATCAAACTGGGGTTGGGGATGGAATTGGGGTCAGCAGTGTGCAAGGCAAGCAGCCGTCTTTCTAGCCTTATATTTGTTGTTTTGTCTGTTTGGTTGGTTGCTTGATTTTGGTCTGTCTCTATCTGGGACCCTGGGAAGAGTAAACAAAGCAAAACAGAGAGGTGAAAGGCCACATTCAATAAAACTAGTATAACTCAATAACGAACCATAAAAGGGACCCAATAAACACAGCACTGTTGGATCTAGGGGTGAGGCGGGGAAGGGGTACGTGAGACTGAGTAGAGACAGTTGCTGCCTCCTGCTGGGTCGCCTCATGGGCTTCTAAGGAAGTGGTGGGGCTCAGAACTGGGGCCTCAAACACCTGCACTGCATAGACTCGACTCTCAACAGCCCCACGAATGACAGTCCTCAAACCACACCTCAGGGCCCTTGGTCTCTGTGGCCTAGGTCCCCAGCTCCTGAGTTTTGGGGAGCTGTGGCCTCTGGCAGTGAGGGCTTCTCCTTTACAGAAAAAAAAAAGTCAGTCCTGACCACTGCTCATGTTTTTTCCTAGCTCATGGTCCTCCCCATCGAAAAGAATTTCAGGAGGTGAACTAGAACAGGGGTAAGGCACTAGCCTTGCACACAGCCAACCTGGGTTTGATCCTGGGCCCTGAGCACAGAGTCAGGAGCAAGCCCTAAGCTTGCCTGGTTGGTTTGGTTGGTTATAGCTGAGTGCAAATATATATATATGTATATATATAGTAAAATATATAATAATAATTTGCAGAGAAAACAAATAGCAAAGCAAAAAATGTAATACACTGTGATTTACAAAAGTGTTGATAACAGTGTCTGACTCGAAACCTACCACCAGTATTAGCGTCCCTCTACCCAGGACCCAAAGCTCCCCGCACCTGCCTCCTTAACAAACTCATTTTATTTTGAAATGTTGAAGCAAAGGTATTTTATTAAGGGCCAGGAGAGAGCCGAAAGGACAAGTGTGTAGGCATTGCATGGAGAGAATGAGGACCAATCCAGACCTGAGTAGGATTAGCCCCTGAGCACCAAGGGGAATGCCCCCCCCAATAAAAAAAATGAGAACGAGAAGAACTTTTATTAGGAGAATAGAGAGAAATGCAAATGAGAACTCCTCACTCCAAATAGAGGAGAGAGCCCCATCAAGTACAAGAGGGGATTCAAACAGAAAGAAATCACACAAAATCACACTCGACACCTTGGGGATGTTGGTGACTCCGGAATGGAATCCTCCCCCTCACTCCTCTTGCTTTCCTGAGGTTGATCTTTTTTTTTTTCTTTTTGGGTCATACCCGGCAATGCTCAGGGGTCACTCCCGGCTCTGCACTCAGTAATTACTCCTGGCCATGCTCGGTAGAGCGTATGGGATGCTGGGAATCGAACCCGGGTTGGCCGCATGCAAGGCAAATGCCCTACCCACGGTGCTATTGCTCCAGTTCTGCCTGAGGTTGATCTTAAAGAGTTTTCACAAACTGCAGCTTGGGCTACTAGCAGCTGAGCATCTGTTGCTAGGATGCTGTCTGGGCAAAAGCACTTGGTCGTCTTTTCCTTCCATCAGCACCTTCCATACCTGCTGAACTTTCTCCTCTCCCCAGGGCCTCCAGACAGCTCTGGGCTAGTGCTCAGAGTCCTTGCAGGCCTTGGCTCCTGCTTCTCCAAAGGGGTCTGGCTATCTGGGTTGGTAAGGGTTTGACAATAGAGTGACTTCTTTGCTCTGGATGGGATCTTGGTTAGATTCCTTCCTGAAACCCTCACCAGTGGCACCTGCCTCTAAAGGAAAGGACGGAATGGAAGAAGAGGCTGCTGCCCAAAGCCTGGGGTAGGGGACCACCACGTTCCTGAGGAGGAAGCAGTAATGTTTGAGAAGGGAGCAGTCTGAGGAAGGGCCTCAGATGAGAGGCACCTCAGCCACAGGGAGGGGGCTTGGGAAGGGACCAAGTCCTTCCTGTTGCTTTGTGCTGTGATGTCTTAGTCACAGGGGCCAGCAGGGGTGAACAGGCAGGACAGGATGCGAGAACATCACGCCCTCTTCATCTGGTGTCAGGTGATTCAGCCCTGACTCCCAAATGCCAGAAAGTCACAGAAGGAGCTGCGGAAACAGTACAAGGTTGCCATGCACTTAGCCAGTCTTCAGCACCACCTCTGGACCCCAAAGCACCAGCCGGGAGTGATCCCTGAATACAGAGCTAGGAGTAGCCCTTGAGCACGACTGGGTGTGGCCTTAGAAACCAAAATTAGTTAATTGATGGATTAAATACTTGACTTTTCAGATCTAAAGGGCATGCCATATTCCAAGGGAGAAAATGATTCAGAATGATCAAAACTCTAGCATGTTCTCA